CTGAGACACAAAGAACACAATTGCCTGCAATTACTGGGGATAATGGTATGTGTGTCATTTATTTACTCATTTTACACACATGCATCATTCTTTATCCAGTTTTCACAGTAGTGTATTTTATTATTAGAATTTTAGTAGCAGATTTCAGTTTAAATCTCAGAAGTGATGAAACTGGAGAGAACAAAAAAAATGCCCCAAATATGAGCAAAAATTCTGTGAAGAAGACCCATATATGAAATGTCAGCATTAATGAAAAAGTTTCACCTCCCTTCACCACATATATCATGTTACACACGAGGAACATCTGAAAGGGATCTTCCCACTAATGATAACAGCAAGCTAGAGATCTGGGGTGGGTGGTAGGTGGGAGGAGGTTTATACGTCATGCTTAGCTAGAGTCATTTGTTGAGATACAAATAAATAAATCAAACAAAATACTTTAACTATAATTGATAACCATTTTGATAAAAACTTTTGGCTGAGTTTACATCACATACTAAGCCATGGTTTATTTCTTTCTGACTTACAGATTGTGTGAATTCAGACACAATGTTATAATTCTAAAGAAAACTAGATCCCAAGCACTCTTAAGTTTTATAATTACATCACTGTGTCTGAATTCACACAATATGTAAGTTTGAAGTAAACAAATCATGACTTAGTATATGATGTAAACTCATCCAACAGTGGTTTTATCAAAACATGGTTAAACTATTTGATTGATTTCTATAGCCGCCCTTCTCAGCAATTGACTCTAGTTAAGTATGATGTACAAATGGAGTCTCTGAGCACACACAACTCTTGCAGAATAGGAGTAAAATGTTTCCACCTAGTGGTTGTGTTCAACTGAAATCAAGCTTTCAATCACTCTTCAAAGATATACAACATAGAAAACGTATATGAAACATCACTACAGATACTTTTGTGAATAATGTAACTCTATTTAATATACTTTTGAGAGACTATTGCTATGTCATATAGCTATTATAGCAGTAATCTTAAATGTCATCAATTGGCCAGGACATTTCTGTTCCAGAAAGACCACAGCTGCATATCAGCTCCATTTCAAAAAGGCCACCTAAGCTTCTGATAACAACATTTTCCAGAAGTACTTCCAAAGTATGAATCCAATCATTTAGGAATCTATAACCTCCATATATAAACAATTTACCAGCTAAATAAATCAATTAATGAGAGCAGGGAACAGGTAATATTTAGGTGAAGGCGGGACATGAAGGCACATGAAGCAACAGATAGAAACATATCAAGGAGATCCTACATAGAGTTCAGGAGAAATGTCCTGACAGTGAGAACAACCAATCAGTGGAATGGTTGCCTTCAAAAGTTGTAGGTGCTCTCTCACTGGAGGCTTTTAATAAGAGATTGGACAACCATTTGATTAAAATGATATGGTGGTGGCTAACCTTTTTTGGCTCCCATGCCGAGCACCCAGAAGGCAATGCGTGCTGACCCCCCCATGCCCCCTGAGCATGCATGTGCAACTCCCCCAAGTGTGATGTGCATCTCTGTGCATGCACGCATGATCCCCCCGCGCACCATGCATCTCTGCGCATGCGTGTGTGATCCCCCTGCATGCGCTGCACGTCTCTGAGTATGCGTGCAAGACCCCTGTGTGTGCTGTGCATCTCTGTGCATGCGTGTGTGTCTCCCCCGCACCCTGCGCATGCGTGCCAGATACCCAACAATCAGCTGTCGGGGCGGCACATGCACGCATGCACAGTGGGGCTCTTCCGGGCGACCTCTCGCGTGCTGGCAGAAATAGCTCTGCATGCTACTTCCAGCACGCGTGCCGTAGGTTCGCCATCATGGATATAGGATGTCATGCTTGAGCAAGGAGTTGGACTAGAAGACCTCCAAAATTCCTTCCTACTCTGTTATTCTGTTACATATTGGGTATAGATCCAAAACTGATCAAAATACAACACAAAACATAACATTAACATCTGGAATCAGGCCATCAAGTAGGAACACAACCACCAGAACCTCATGCTTATTTTTCTTGATTTAAAGAATCTAACGGATGAACAGAGTTTGAAGGGATCTAGTGAGAAAGATATCTTGATTCAAGACTCTACAACATGATGCTCCAAAGTGCCAATGATTCTTAGGGCTTAGCAGGCTCTTAAAACCTTGCCTGATTTTTAAAAATCTATTTAATTTTAAAATGGGAAGTTGGCATGCTGCATAACATCCAGTATAATTTTTATTTCCAAGAATGCTTCTAGGTCTCATGCAGCAATCCATGTTTCTGAAAGAATACCAGCCTACCTAGAAAAAAAGAAAGAGAGCCTATCATTGTTCAGCCATTACTCAATTCCAAGTAGGGATAATTGCATGTTACCATTGTTTATTCCAATTCCCAAATAAGGTCTTAAACAATCCCTTTTCCAGTCCCTCGGAATTCCCATCTCTCATAACAAATAATGTATGGTATGTCTACCCAACTGGATAGTTCTAGCTATTACAAGGATAATTATGGGTGTAGTGTGATAATCCAAATATCTCAAAGTATCATGTCCACGCTTATGGGTTTTATTTGCAGTCCTAATGGTTTCATTTCAAAGATAGTTATCTTTCCATTTAATGTCAAAGATTCATTATTTAATGCTCCAGGTGTTTTGCAAAAAATTAATGTGCCTCTGAAAGCTCTTAAACTTCTTCCTATTTGCCAAATTGACATGGATGATTCTCTAAGGATCCAATGGTGACTGAAACATTGATTTGCTATCATTACTATAGATTAGACACCAAAGCATTTCTGTGAGGCCACATTTCACCAGATGTCACCATCCTTCAGTGACAGAGTTTTCTGGAAGAACAAGGTGTCTCTGTGTTATACAGCCATAATGGATGCTTATATTCCTTTGGATTAATTGCTCAAGTAACATCTGTAATCCAAACTCCTAGACTTCATCTGAGGTCCCACCAACATCAATCAAACTTTTTATATTCCCTCAGCCACCATGGGGAGTGTCCACTGTTAAACTTTCATCTTCTCACTCAATCAAGAATGACAAGTATGATCTGCCATACAGATAGGTTGATGAAATACTGGAATAGTTTTCTGGTTCAAATTCAAATGCAAAAAGACATAAGACATAAGAATTTATTTGTCATTACACTCGCAAGCGGGTGCAACGAAATGAGGTGCTCTTCCACAAAGTAAAACTGGACAAACACCACTAAAAGAAAAAAATTGAACTAAACACAACCAACCATACAATAATCTCTATGCAATTTAAAAATGTAAATACCCCATTACTCTCAACCATTTAAATTCCACAAAATCTTATGACCCTGCATTCAAACTCAAAACTGCACTTGGATAAAAACTGTAGCCAGCTTTGCCCTGACCATTTTATAACTATAATCTAGAGGGGGGGAGGGAGGGAGGGAGAGAGAGGGGGGGAGAGGGAGAGGGAGAGGGGGAGAGAGAGAGATTCCCCAAGGATAGAAAAGCAACTGCAGTTATTATCTATTAGTTTTTGAAGTTAGCATTCTCCTTAGCAAAGATGAGTAATTAGTAGTTAGAAACAAGCATATGATATTCTAGAATCCTCAGTTTTAGCATAAAAAGCAAAAGCCATTTCATATGTTAATTGTACCTCTCAGTGGAACTAATTTATGTGAAATAAAATGCACAAATATTGCCATAACTACAGTGTGACACTTTGCTACCCTTTACAATATGTATCCACTTCCGGAGTGAACTTTATTTGCTACAAGATAATCTTCTACTTGGAAAAAATAGTAAATGAAATGGCATTGTCCAGACAAGGTCAATACTGAGAATTCCCAAGGACAATAGTGAAGAGAATTACACTGCATAATCCTATATGTGTTACTTGGAAGTAAATCCCGATTAGCTTAATGAAGTTTATATCCAAGAAAAATATGAATAAGATAAGAACACCTATGACCAAATAGTGTCATTAATGTCAGTGAAATAGAACTGGCTTTCATTGGACTGTGCCCAGCAAATTGGCCAGAGACATATCTGATCTTCAACTAGTAGATTAAGAACTGTATTAGTCTAAGAGAGGCTGCCATAAAAGCACAGGAGAAAATGAAGTTTGAGCTGCAGATAAAACTAAATCTGTAATGGGAGAAAATTTTATTATTCTAAGTTTTTTGATACAATCAATGATTGTGCTATTACCTACATTATTTGTAAATTAGGACACACCTCATCAATACTGAAGATAATTAAAAGTTTGCATTATTTGCTAGTATTCAAACTACATCACTAATATTGTTGATATGGCATCTAACAATAATCAACATTTTAGGTTATACCCAAATTCTGTTTGCTGCGGAAAGTATTGGCCTTTGAAATGTCTTCCAGGAAGCATCCGCTCCAGAGAAATTCTATTTCACCAAGAGGAAATAGCCATCAAGCATTATTTAAAAAAAAACATTAAAAGAAATTACACTGACTAACTTGCTAACTGGACAAAACTAATTCCATACCTCTTCATTTTGCTTTCCTCCCTAGGCTGCACTGGTGGCTCAATCCAAGTTTCGGCTCCATTGTAAGACTCCTAATTCTCACCCTGGACTTGGTCCACAGCCTTGAGAAGGGAGCTCCTAGAATCACTGCAATTAGCTCATTATAGGGTTGGTTTGCTATCAGGCACCTGTTAAAAAAACTCCCTTGTGGTCTATGTTAAAGATGCTCTCATGCCAAAGGCAGTTTGTGCTAGGAGCAAGAGGTTGCATTTTTCTACACAACTTCTGCACTCCAAGCCCAGCCTGCTGCCGCTCTTGCTTGTACCAATGACTTCTGACACTGCTCCATTTTCTCCTTCCAACCTGCCTCCTCTCCCACAGCATCCCCAATTAAAACCATGCCCTTGCTATCTCTTCTTGTTTAAACAACAACAACAACCAATACAACATCAATGTTTCTCTTTGCTGCTGAGGACAAGAAATGAAGTGCTGTTTCTTTAATCGGCAAAAGCATGCAATTAAGAGCATACCTTTAATTTAGTGTTGGGATAGCTCACTTGCACCCTGGCAGTTGTCTTATTGGAGAGGGCAGCCTGCCTCAGATCCTCTAGCACTGAAATTATATCATCCAGCACGCATTTCTTATCCTGATTTCTCAACACACACAGATGGGAAAAAGTATAATTATAGCCTTTGTGGTTCACCTTCATTTCCAGCACGGTTCGGTGGATCTGCAGCAGCCCTTCAGCCTGGTGCAAAATATTGCCCCCGGGCTTGGCGAGAAGGATCACCCGGCCATACCTCCCCGGGGTGTGCAAGTCCGAATAGAGATGGCTTTTGGAGCGGTCGAGGGGGAAAAGGCTGTTGGCCAAGCTCCTCTCGATCTTGGCCAAGCTGTGACTCGGGGCCACTAGGAGCTCCAGGTCCATTTCAGGCTGGAAGCGGTTGAGGACGCTGAAGCCGAAGATGATGGTCAGGACTGCGGGCACGGTGAGGAAGAAGACAGGGTGCCGGCTGACGAACAAGCCCAGGTGGTGGCAGAACGACCGGAGCCCTCTGTGGATCACCTGCCGCAGCATCCTCCTCCTCCTCCTCCTCCTTCTCCCGAGCCAGCTTGCGGATGCTCCCGGCCGTCTTCTTCGAAAGCACGGGGGACATCGGGAGCTAAGTGGCCTGACGAGCCCCGCTTTGCCTGCCTCGGACTTTCGCGCTCACTCGCTCGCCCCGCTGGCTCGTCCTTCCTCTCCCTCTATTACCCGCTTCAAACACTGCAGCAAGTTGCAGCAAGATGACCAAATATTGATCAATGGAGCGGGGGGGGGCGTTGCGCGCGTGCGGGGCTACGGGGTGAAGTGGGGGGGGGGCAGAGGAGGGGGTTCCCTCGGGCTTCCCTCTCCCCCCTCCCCTTCTCAGCCTTTCGGCCCCGCTTCCACTCGCGATCCTCCGGGGGCAGCGCCGGGCGGCAGCGGCGGCGGCAGAGCCAAGTCCCCCCCCCTCGTCCTCACCCCCCTCCGCTCTTTCCTGGCGCGCTCGTGCAAAGCCCTCCGAAGCGAGGTGGGCGGCGGCATTTCAGGACTGCCGCGGAGCTCTCGGCTGCTTTGAAGTTTAAGCGCCGGGCGAGCCGGCGAGGCTCCTGGAAGGAGGAGGAGGAGGAGGAGGAGGCTGCGCCTGACCCTGCCTTTCCCTTAAAGAGGAGGCGCGGGAAACCCCCCCACCCCACCCCACCCTGCCTACCTGAGGGTAGCCCGCCCTCTTTGGCTGTCGGGCGGGCGAGAAGCAAGCGACCAGAAAGGCGGGAACTGGAAAGAAAGATGAGGCTGCGGCGGAACCCAGCCGGCCCCATTGTCTCTCGCGCCCTCCCTTCCTCTGGCGGGAGCGAGGCAGCGCCCGAGAGCTGGAGCTCGGCTTCGGGAAGGCACCTCAGCCGCCGCCGCCGCCGCCGCCTTCGTCTTCCTTTCTCTCCTGCTTCCCGGCCAGGATCGGGGCCTGGGGCTAGCCGAGCGGGTGTCCCCTTCCAGCCGCGCCTTTTGGCCCCGGAAAGAGGCTTTAGGCGACGGAGCCAGGGGAGAGAATGAGAGGAAATGGTAAGAAGGTTCAGCCGCTCTCGCCTAAGCTTCGGGCTTGACTACTGCTAGGAGCTGAGGGTGGGGGCCCGCCCTTGATCCTGTGCTGAAATGCTCTTGTTCCTTGCCTTCAAGCGCCAGGTACGTGGCCGGCGGTCTTCCAGGAGAACTGGCTGCCCAGAGGCTTCCAGGTTCAAGGCAGAGCGCTCCTTACTGACTCAGCCAAGAGCCCCCTGTCTCAGCTACCTGCCCACCTCAGCTACCTGCTGCTGGTCCGTCAAAAGGTCTGCTCCGGAATCCATCTTTGAAGGCTTTTCAGCAGCTTTGCACCAATGCCCTGAAAGGGACGTTACACACACACACACACACACACACACACACACACACACACACACTCACCCATCCATATACACACACACACCCCATACACAACATTAGACGCTAGACTGCAAAATTCTTTCTTTTGAACTGCAACTTTCTTTCTTTCTTTCTTTCTTTCTTTCTTTCTTTCTTTCTTTCTTTCTTTCTTTCTTTCT